TAAAAGGGAGAAAGACGTGGGGTTGGAAGACATACATCACACACACGCACACTTATTACAATATTGCCCTCGCGCGGAGGGTCTGAATAAATAATATACAGTCCCAAATGAATGAATAATACAGTCCCGAATAAATACAAAACCCTAATTAATTAACAAATTAAATGAGGAAAGCAATAAATTGGCATGCAAGCCAGGGACTGCCTCAACTCTGATCTGGATGATGAATGATGCATGTTCGGCTTGCCTTGCGTGGAAATCCATTGCGATGCCCCAATTACACTCTATTTGCAATTGTTCTTGGGATGCGTGCCAAGCTCTGGAAGGCTGCTGATTCTTGATTTGCTGTAACAGAGAGCAAGAAAGGGGCATGGCAAAGTATTTTCACATATGTATGCATGACTACCCTTCAGGGAGTTTAGTCCTCGATCCTCGTGCCACCAATCACGCATCTCGATGCATGATGGCCGAGGAGTCGATTTGCACGATTCAATATGAAATGAATGCAGATATGGACACAACAAGACCTAGACTCCATCATGGATAATCCGGAGTGTCGGCGACCGAGGAATTGAGACACGTTCCGTCACTCAGAGTACGAAACGCCCATCGTTTCCCGTGCTCGGGCTAACTCCTATCCCCAACACGATGCAATATGCATGACATGCATGAAATGCAACTAAGATACAACCTATCATGCACAATGCTAGGAAATGGCATACACGATGCACGAGATAACATGGCATACACAATGCGCTAACATACGGCCTAGCATACACAATGCTATGAAATGAAATGGCATACACAATGCAATATGGGCTTACACCAATGTGAGTGGACCTCAAGCGCACTCACATAGGAGGCCATACGATGAAAATGAGACAACTCAAAATGCGTGCCCACATGCACGCGAACCGAGGATCGATCCTAAGGCACCAAATGCCACTCTAACAAGACATGGCAAGGCATGGAATATGGCATACTAGCATGAAAATTTCAATAGCAAAATATGATGCAAAATGGCCCCAGAACATGGAAACATGGCACCCGATACATGGAATGAGACCCGAACATGAAATTAGGTACATGGAATGACCTATGGCTATGCAAAGCATGCATTATTCGAACATGAAGTGTGAAGATAGAATCAAGACAGTTCCAAAAAAAGCATATTTACAGTTTTAAGCAAAGCCAAGAAGTGAACACAAATAGGGCTAAGTTAACATGCAAAAATGGCCCCAAAAGAGAGATAATGAAGCAAGTAGCAGCTGCTGGCCCTAAATGGCCAAGATCCCTTCAACAAAGTTGAAGACGGGCTCAAAACATGGTATTTCACAATTAGTGACCAAACCCAAAACAGTGCACATGCAAGCTTAAAATACTATGCAAAATAAGGCCTAAAGAGAGGTTTAAACACAAAGAGCAAAAAGGGAGCTTCAAACAGAAAAAGTCCCTTGATCAAACATGAAGAAGGGGTCAAAATAACACTATTTACAGTTCGGACCAGAGCCCAAAAACACGAGCACAAGGGGCTAACAAAACATGCAAAAGAAAGGCCAAAAGAGGGATGAAGAGGCAAGTGACAAAAGGAAGCCTCAAACAGTGAAGAGCCCTTCAACAATGTTGAATAAGGGCTCAAAATAAGCCACTTTTCAGTTTATAACCAAGCTCGAAACAATTTACAAATGAGCCTAAAATACTATGCAAGAAAGAGGCATACAAGAGAGGTAAAGAAGCAAGTGTAAAAAGGAAGCCTCAAACAGGGAGAGACCCTTAAACAAATAAGAAAATGATCTCAAAATAATTCTATTTTTAGTTAGGGTCGGAGCCCAAATATGCAAGAAAGAGGAGCTAATATATTGAGCAAAAATAGGGCCAAAGAGAGGGATAGAAGACTTACCCTTGAAGACCAATGCTTCAACAACTCTTGGCTTGAGAAAAGGTGCTCCTTGCCTCTGGAAAACCAGCTCCAAATGTTGGAAAGGATGGTGGGGAGGTGGTGCTATGTGGTGGTGTAGAAAGTGGCCAAAAAAAAACAAAAGGGTTTTGATACTTGGAATATAGAGAGAGAGAAATTAAATGTAGGAGGCTTAAACAAAAAAATTTTCTAACCAAAAATGCAGCTGGAGCTGCTGGTTTTATAGAGGGAGGAATGGAGGAAAAGGGGGGAAAATGGGGGGGAAAATCAATTCAAATTTCCCCCCAAAAATAGGCCTAAAAGAGAGATAAAGAGGCAAGTGCTAGCTGCTGGCCTCAAACCGAAGAGAGCCCTCAACAAAGTTGAAGAGGGGCTCAAAACAAGACACTTTATAGTTTACATCAAGCCACGAAATAGCTCACAAATAAGCCTAAAATACCATGCAAAAATAGGCCTAAAAGAGAGTTAAAGAGGCAAGTGATAGTAGGAGATCTCAAACAGTAAAAGGTCCTTAATCAAACATGAAAAGGAGCTCAAAATATGACTATTTACAGTTTGGGTCGGAGCCCAAAAATGCTTGCAAGCAAGGCTTAGATATAGAGCAAGATAGGAACAAAAAAAAGGAAAAGAAGCTTACCCTTGAAGACCAATGGACCAGCAGCTCTTGGTCTGAGAAATGGTGCTCCTAAGCTCTGAAAAATAGCTCCAAGTCGTTGGAATGGATGGTGGCGGGGTGTATACCAAAAACCGGAGCAAACGGAGGTGGTTAGGCGGTCCCGAACCGAGGCACACGACCGACGGCTCCGAAAACCGGGAACCGGGCTCCGAAACGGGAAAAATGGCCTACGACCATGAAATGTAGCCTACGGCCACTGAGAGATGATCTACGAGACCTCTCCCTCCCTTTGGGAAGAGAAGACGGAGAAAACGGGACCTAGTTCGCAAACCGAGGCGAAGCACAAAAGAGTCCAAAAGTCCGGAGGCAAGGCTCACGGCCGAGACTCCGCGACCTCTGAACGAGCACAATATGCAACATCACCGAGCGCTCAATCGATGACGTCTGAGTCTTAAGGTCGGTCAAAAATGGGGTGTCTACAGCTATGCTTGCTTTGTTTGAATGATTTGGCATCATTTCTTGCTTAATTTCAATGCATTTAGTGTTGTTACACTTCTGCATTTGTCACTCCTTGAGCCTTCTTGAGGGTTGTGCTCTTAGGCCTACTTGGTTGGCCAATGCATTGTGCATGCATGCTTTCTATTTTGTGCCTTTGTTTTGGTGTTATGGTCACCGATTTGGGTAGGGCTAAGGTCTGTCCATTTT